TGCATGTGTGTAAATTGAAGAATCAACTCATATGAACCAGACAGGTCAAGAATTGACTTAATTCAATTCAGTACTGAGAAGTTCACGGGAGGATTGTAGTGTTCTACTCTGTATTCCAGCAACTGTTCTCTTATTACCCCCTCTACTACCCTTTACATATACCCAGTTCTTACCACTTCTGTTGGAATGAGTCCTTTAGGATCTAGAATCCATTCATCAAACTGTTCCTGCAAAGCTTGTTTCCGCATGTCAGCCACCTTGGCCTTGATTGTGTGTAGGTGCTCTCTTTGTTGTCTTTTCTGTTTAACATGCTCCTTCAACTTAGAAACTCTAAAAAGTATAAAGATAGAAAACGTGATAAGTTAAACTCTTGGATTTGATTCATGTTGTTCAAATGGAAGAATATAGGAGCTGAGAGCCTCATTTAAACTTTATACTTATTTTTTCTCCATAAAATCTTTCCTGAAGTAAGCCTGGAGTGAGTCCTCTTTTCCTCTAGAACTTACTGAATTTGCCATTTATCTTATGCTTTCTACATTGTTGACTTTTTTAGAAGAGGGACCTATTTTGCCAAACTAAATATTACACTTAAGTATTGGTAGGAATGTAAAGTTATACAGTGATTACAGAAAACTGTGTGAAGGTTCTTTAAAAAACTAAAAAATAAAATTAGCATATTATCTTGAAATCTCAGGTTTGGATATTTACCCAAAAGATTTGAAATCATTATGTAAAAGTGGTGTCTGTACTTATATATTCATTACTCCTTTATTCATAATAGTTAAGTTATGGAATACCTTAGTGGCCACTAACAGATAAACAGATAAATAAAAATGTGGTGTATGAATACAAGAGATACTATACAGCATTAAAAAGGAAGAAAATTCTGTTCATAGTGGTGATATAAATAGAACTGAAGAATTATGTTAAGTAAAACAGGCACAGAAAGACAATATATTCTCTTGTATATGTGAAATATGAAATGATCATAGAATGGTGGTTACAGAGATTATGGGTGGAAGAAATGAGATGGTTGGCAAAAAGTACAAAATCTCAGGAGGAATATATTTTTAAAAGATCAATTGCACAGCAGTATAATTAATATATTTTATATTTCAAATTCTCTAAGACTGTAATTTCAAATTTTCTAACCTCCATAAAGTGGTATTTGAGATAAATGCTTATGTTAATTATTCTGATTTGATTTTTCTACATTGCATGTGGATAACTCATCACATCACATTATACCTCATAGGTATATACAATTACAAATAGTCACATACAATTTGAAAATAAAAAAAAGCAGTGAGGATAGCCCAACAACCTACCCTACATAATCTAAAGACAAGACCGATACATAAAAGCCTTAAACCATGAACCTGTCTCTTCTCTGGCTATAGAAATCATTGTGAAGGCTTTGATCCCAGGACTATGGTAGATGTTTGGAAGATGCATTTATTACAAGTGTGTTAGGTCATTTTGATACCTTTAATGAAAATTTTGAGAAATTTGCTTAGAAATATGAGGCATCATTAAGAATATGGTGAGTGTTGAATTTTAAAAAAATTGTTATAGTAAAAGACACTCTAAAATTAATTCCCATTAAAATACTCTCTCTTATTTTGAATAACTTCTCCATCCTTCTGGCCACTTTCTGAAGCACACTTGGTAATCCTCTTTCCTGTTTTTACTTGCATTATAATGGTGGCCTCAGTGTCCTGAATTGATTGAAAACTTTTACTTTTTATGGTGATTTTTGACTAGGAAAGAGCTAGAAATCATATGGTGCCAGATCTGATAGATAAGCTACATGAAGATGTATCACAATGTTTTTACAAGCTTATCTTTCCATTGTGTGGCATTTTTAAATAAATCTCACCTTGCAAAAACACTCATGAAAAAGAACTTCTAGAAATATCACAGAAAGTGGTGAGAACAATCAGATAAATATGTTTGAAGAAAGTGGAGTTTGAGAGGGATTAATGGCAAAGTGTCTTATACTGTAATAATTTAAAAAATTTAAATACACACCATATATTTCAATCACATCTTGTATCTTGTCCAATTGCCTCTTTCTGGAGAATGTCAAACACTTTCACAGCCCCTGCTGAAGCACTATAGATTCCCTTGTACAAAGGATGTATCACCCAGCCTGAGACTGAAGAAAAATTTTGATTTCCCATATGATTTATCCTGATCAGGACTTTATAAAAACCCAAACTGGTTTTGATCAAAATCAAATCACATGGTTCAGAATAATACAAATAACTCCCAGTTTCAAGTTCTCTTTTTTGTTTGTTTGAGACAGGTTTTCATCTTTCATTTTTTGTATTATTTATTGATACAATTTAAATATATATAATGATCATATTAATTATAGGGAATTTGTAACTGTGTAAGATATATTTTGATTCTGCTTTTTCCTCCAATCTACTCCCCTTCCTTCAACCTCTCTTCCCCATTTGATTTATAAAGCTTTGTTTCCATTTTATCCTTTCCTTTTCTTTTCTCTTCCTCCCTTTTCTCCTTCCCCCTCCCTAGTTCTTGCTTCCTTTTGAACAATTTCTTCCTATTTCACAATATCTGTTGCACATTTTGGTCCTTACTTACTCAGGTTCTCACACCTGGAGGACAATGCTATATTTACATTAAATTGTCTCCTTAGTGTGAGAACCTGAAAGAGAAAACTGGAATCTGAAGGGTACAATAGATACTGGGAAAAATGAATGGACTTATTCAAAAGGAAGAAATTATTGAGTTGAGGAGGACAGGAGAGGGAGTGGGGAAAGAGATATATCTATGTATGTAAGGAGAATGGTTTGAACAACTGCATTGTACATTTCCGCTGGTCTGTGGAAAGGAGCAGTTAATGCTTAATTTGTTTTTTTTGTTTTTTTTTGAGATGGAGCTTTAGAGTATTTTTTGGCTTTGTTTTTTTCTTTGTTTTTTTTTTCCTGGGTTTTTTTCCCCGCCTCTTCAAGTTTTGGTCTTTTATCTCCTGGATTTGGCGGAACCAGGGATTGAACTCAGACCCTTGCGCTTGCCAGGGAAGCGCTTATTCTACTGAGCCATCTCCCCAGCCTTAATTTGTTTCATCTCCTTTTTTCAATTGTATTTTTTCTCTTCTTAATTTCTTATACATTGCTTTGTTTTTTTCTTTCTTTTCCAATTTTACATGCATATATCTGGTAATATGAATAACTGGTTGGAAGACAACCTATTTATTACAATAAGCCCTGTGAAATTCATATTACTTTGTTAAGTGAAATTCTATATCACTTGTAATTTTTTCTGTTTTAATTCTATAATTTTTACTCTCTTAAAATTTTTTTTTTTTTAAAATGAGTGTGATCTTAAGGTGCATCCACTGACCTAGAAATGTCTCAAGTTTATCCTTCTTTATGGCTGAGTAATACTATTTAGGACATATAAATAATTGAAAATGTCAGACCCCTTAAATTAAAAAACCCAATCCAAATATGGGCATCTGAGATGAAAATACACTTTTCAGAGGAAGAAATATAAATGGAAAATAAATGTACGAAAAAATGTTCACCATCATTGGTCATTTAAGAGATGCAAATTAAAACAATGCTGAGATTCCATCTGGTTCCCAAAATAATGGATATCATCAAGAAACTGACCAATAACCAATGCTACAGGGGCTGTGGGGAAAAAGGAATCCTTCTCCACTGTTGAGGGGAGTGTAGACTATTATAACTATTGTGGAATCAGTGCAAAGATTCTTCAAAAAACTAGACCTAGAGGTCTCATTTGATCCAGATACTCCCCTTCTGGTTATCTTCCTCAAAGAATTAAAAACATCATACCACAGCAATATATGTGCACCTATGTTTATTGCAGCACAATTTGTAATAGCCAGATCTTGGAAACAACCCAAATGTTCATCAACCAAGGAATGATTTTCATCTTTTAAAGGAAAAAGATTAAGACAGTTTGACAGACTTTGAAACCTATAATATTTCAAGTAAGAACTGCCAAATTGGATACCTTTAATATTCCAAAGAAATTATTAAAATCTAAGTCATTACTTTATGCCCATATAAGACTTTCAGGGGCCAGGGAGATGGCTCAGTGGGAATAAGTGCTTCCCTGGCAAGAGCAAGGGCCTGAGTTCAATCCCCAGTTCCACCAAAAAAACAAAACCACCACCAACAACAAAAAAAACCAACTTTCAGAATTCTCTATGAAAACAAGCCTTCAAAAATAGATTTCACATTTTGAAAACAAAGGAAGGAAGCAGTTTAATAATACCAAAAGAGTTGGTGTTTGAGCCCAAAAGATTAATTGGTACTTTAAAGAAAGTGGTAAATTCCTCTGATGCAACTGGTAAGCATACAAACCTCCCATCCCTTTTAGCTGCCTCTCATTTTGCTCTGTTTTTCCATCCGCTACTTCCACAACTTTCTCTCTCTCTATTAGCATTGTCCTTGTTCATTCTCTTGTAGCTTGCTATTCTCTACCTATTTCTTATCCCAGCTATATTCACTCTTTCACTAAATCATTCATTCATTCATGTTACACCAACATCAAGGGATGCATAGTATGGATTCTGCCATCATAAAGCTTAGGTTTTGCTAAGCATGATGATGCACATTTTTTAATCCTAGAAGTTTGGGATCTGACACAGGAGGATGAAAAGTTCCAGTCTAGCCTGGGGAAACTTATCAACTTAGGGAGAACTTGTCTTAAAATAAAAAGGTGTGGGCTGAGATATAGCTCCATGTAAAGGTCCTGAGTTCAACCCCCAGTACCACTACTACCAGCACCAAAAAAAAAAAAAAAGCTTAGAATTCAATGGTAGAACAAAAAAGATAAGTAAACCATGCAGTATAATAAGCATTTTTCAAGATTCTCATGTGATATATAAGTGGATTTGCAAAATTAGTTTTGTCATATTTCACTTCATGAAGTACTTTTTGTGCCTAACTAGATCTTCCACATGCTTTAGGTCTCAGCTCAGCTCAGACATCATTTCCTCCCACTTACTGATGGCCAGACTTAGAAACAAAATGTTGTTTTGAGCTTCAGAGCTCTTGTATATGAGGTTCCAAATATAACTCAAATGGATTTTAAATTGATTATGTCACTTATTCCAGGAATGAAAAATATTTCTATTGCATAATTTGCATTGCTTCATGTGAATGTTTATTTCAATCAACAAAATTCCATTGTATCCAAAACTTTAACTTTGGGCAATATAAGGTAGATATAATCCACAGCTAGATTCTAAATAGAAATTCCCATGTAGGGAGACTGAAAGGAAAAATCAGATTCTTCACATTTCTGTGTGCATGTCTTTTTGTATT